GCGTGGTGGCGGTGGTGGCTATCACGTCTTCCACTGTGTAGTCCCAAGAGCCACTTGGCCAGTCGCTCCGTGCTTAGCTTACAAAACTGACCGTAGTGGCACGCTAAGGGGCACGCTTAGGGGCAGCCTTGGCTGCACCGGCCACCTGCGACCCCCCTTGCCCTCCCCCCTCCGATTTCCAGTCTTTTCAACTTTTGTCTTGGCACCGGGTACAGGTGCGGGAGTAGGGAGAAAGTGAGGTAGATCCTGCGCGAGTTGACTTCCACTTTAATTGGGCGTTGAGTCACTGCGATCGCCTTCAGCTTGCTAAAGTTCGCAGTTGGATACGTGCCAAAAATCCGGTTGTTCTCCCGCGCGAATGTATAGCCGGTTCCCAGCGAGTGCATTTACTACGGAACACACATTTTGCAGGCAGCAGCAAGGAAGCTTGTTCAAAAGCCGGCATTTTAGCGTGCCTGAAATATACGTTAGGCTGCATTTAAATCATTATTGCAACCATACTTAAGCAATATGTTCGAACCGAAAACACATTTCATAATTTCGTTTGACATTTCATGAAGTAGCGAATCTACTGTATAATATATATTCTTATATTTTATTTATACTATTCCCCACTGCATGTGCTTTTCGCTTACTCTTTTATTGCCGTCCTCTTCCTTCTTCAGGCTCGTGACGTGAAAAGTTCGGCTCACTTCACACTCATTATCCTCAAAGGCCGCCTGCACTTTGTCTACAACGTAGGCGGCGTCACGGGAGTACATGAGTTTGTCAATGGTCCCTCGGCAGCCAACGTCGCCGATCTCAACTGGCACCGTGTCACCTTCGGCATCGATCGCATCAAGGGTCGCTTTATTCTTATGCTGGACGGGGCAGCGCCCGAGGTATGGTACCCAGCCCCGCAATCTCCGTTGTATTGTATCCGCCAAAGTAATAAAAAACTTACCTACTAATACGAAATAAGTAGACAGTTCTAGAAATTAAAAAAACACGGTTTTAACAATAACAGGTCACCCTGACATTCCACCCTGCCCCCAACAGTGCTGAACAAGTCCTTTCATACATCCTTCTCTCTCCCTTGCCCCTCCTCGTGTTTACAGTTGGTCGGTTACCGCCTACGGCAAGAAGACATCGACACCCTCATCTTCCACTTTGGCGGAGTTGTCAACAAATGGCGCGAAGTCTACAACATTATTCGTACGTATGCACCCACTG